ATTAAAGATGGCCATGGACGCTTCCATATTTCATAGAAACTTACTATATGTCAATTTCAGAGAAATTGACATATAGTAAGTTTCATTCATAGAATCCTATAAAAGCTCTGTGAGATATATATGCTGCATATTCCCACTTTACAGACATGGAAACTAAAGTGTAGAGGTCAAGGTCAATAAATTCAGAGCTGCTGCAGGTGGGGAACAGGGATGGGTGAAGCCCAGGAGGGAGGAGCTTTTGGGCTCCGGTTCCAAGGAGACAGCTAGGAAGTCACATTCTCAGGCTCCTGACACTGGAACATGCTATGGGCTTACCTCTGCTAAGAACTTGCTGTGGAGAGGTGACACGGCTTCCAACATGGGGACAGTTCTTGTCGCACTTGGTTTTGCCCCTTTTTTAGTTGCAAAAGATTAGAAGGGAGAAAATCGGATAGACAAATCAGGGATGTGACCGAAGCAATGACATTGTAGCAGCCTACCCAGGGCCCAACTGGGCACAGTCCTAAGCTCATAGCTGAAAGATGGAGCTCCCAAAGCCTGAAGTCTGCCGATGTCACGAGCTCACTTTGGTTCGTTGGCAACACCCCAGTCTTCACATTCTCTGGCAGATGTCCTGATTGGCTGGGAGATTGTTGCTTCCTGATTCAGTGGTGATCATTTCTGAAAGATGGGGTAATGGCAACAGCTATCATTGCATCACTGCTGTGCAAAGCGTTTTTACACACGTTATCATATTGAATCCTAGGAAAATTCCTACGAGGTGAGTAGGCATCCCCGTGGTTTACCCTAATCTTGGCCCTGCTGAGTCTTACTATTCCAGGAGACCCATGTGGCCTATAGCAACTGAGGTTCAGAAAGGTGAAGTAACTTCCCCCAAATCACACAGCAAGTAAACAGCTGAGCTGTGCTCATTCTCCTAACCTTCAGTTGATATGGATTTTTTTTTTTTAGAAGATTTATTCAGGGCCCTTTCCTATTGTATAGGAAACCAGACTTTATTTATCACTGAGGTTACTAATAGAACCAACATTTTGTGCAAACACATCCATCAACTGACCCTGAAATGTTCCGAATGAGCTTGGGAGCCAGATGCCTGTGACAACCCGATAGTTTAAAGAATTTTGCATGGGAGCTGAAGCCACATTAGAGATATTTTTATTTCTGTGAATGTCACCACTAGCAAGGCATATGTTCAACTTGGCTTCTAATGGTTGGGGAAAAAAGAGGTACATTGTCATCGTTAGCATTTTCCCAATGACATTTGCATTTACATTTCTATCAGAAGTCCACTTTAGCAAAGGAATGTAGTCTCAGTCACTTGAAACTGTTCTTCCCTAGAAAACAACTGTAAATGTAATAAGCTGAAAGAATAGAAAATGCCCACTGGGAAAAAAAATATGATCCATCTGGGGTCAGATTCATCATGCACACTGATTCAGTCTTCTTCCAACATTCTTATTCAGGAAGGAAAACTTGGAACATTTCTAAATTTCAGGGTATTTGAGATTTGCAAGGAGTGGGGGGAGAGGGAGAAGGAATTAAATTTCAGTCCCATTGTGTAGGGATCAAGAACAGATTTCCTCTACTCTACATGTTCAAATCGCTTCATTGCGACTGACTCTCTCTCTCCTGCATAAAGAAGGCTCTGGTTGCTATGGGAGGATACAATAAGGTCATGATTGCTTTAAAATTATTCATAATAAAAACACATTTTGAGACTTGATTCTAAATGTTAAACTTAAATTTGAGCGATTTAATTGCCCGTTGAATAGAAATGAAATCCCGCCAGTAGGAAGTTATTTCTTACAGCCACTGTGTGTGAAATTGAAATCTTAAGATACCATTTCAAATATGCACCTTCTCCAGGAAGTTCTCCCCAAAGAGTTGTGAAAGATAAGAAACTGACCCAAAGTCATACGCAGTCATCTCTTTCTCTTGACACACTCTTCAAAGCAGAAGAATATTATTTAAAGAAAAGTTTATGCCCCAAAGTTGGCCATTTTGAGGTTACCTTTGGAACCCAAGGATACTTTAATTTTAACAACTGACTTGAGCCTCATGGGAAATGGTTGCAAGAAAAGTAACAACTTTATCAGGTTTAATAAAAGCAAGCAGATGCACAAAAAGCATCTAGTTGTTCCATTTTAATGAACATTAAAAAGGAAAAGGCATTTACGTTTTGTTTAGGAGCAGTAGGGAATGAGGCAAAGGGATCTTGCTCTATTTGCTTTTTAAAAACAGGGAATGTTTCTGGGGGCAGTGGTGTGTGCCTGCAGTCCCAGTTATTCAGGAGGCTGAGGCGGAGGGATTGTGAGTTTGAAGTCAGCCTGGACAACATAATCAGACCCTGTCTCAAACAAGACCCAACACACACACACACACACACACACACACACACACACACACAGCTGTTTGTTTAAATTCGAGTGAGAAATTCTTATTTAAAATCTCCATTTAAACTTTAGATTTAATTTCCAACTTGTTTTATCTCAATGATCTTTTTGAAAAAACATAGCAACTGCCATTTATGATAATTTAATATATGTCCATTGCTTTCCATGCAATACATTTTGTAACAATTATTACCTTGATCCCATTACAAATCTATGTGCCACACTTTGCACACATTAATTTGTTTAATTCTTACAGCAATCCATGTAATCAATTCTGTCATTCTCATTTTATAGATGAGGATCCTGTTAGCCCAAGTTCACACAGGTGGTTCAAAGTGGGTTAGAACAGAAGCAGCTGGATTACTCAACCACTTACCAAACAGTACCTCCTTAGATTTAGTAATTTTCCCTGCTCAAGTTAGCTGATGAGTTAAGAACCTAAATCAAACCCAGGTAGCCTGGTTCCAGAGTCCCAGTATTAATTATCGCATTGACTGATTATAATTAGAATGTCAATCACAACCTATATATTTATTCTCCTTTCTGATAGAAATGAAAGTAGACTGATTACATATTTATCATATTTATATATTTATCACATAATTTAGGCTTGGCTAAAAATTCTAGGGATTTTCTTTTTTAAGTTGAAAACAAGGTCTGATCAGGAAATTGTCATTTTTACATACTAAAGGTCCACCTTGGACCCAAAGGAGCCTATGAGGCTTCCTTTGACATAAGCATACAAAAGGGCACTTGCACACACACACACACACACACACACACACACACACACACACACGTTATAATCATACAAATTAGGGACCCAAGCCTTAGCTTAGGAAGACAAGGAAATGACAAGAATCCAAAGACAATGGTAATTTCAGGTCATATGTGTGAAGATCTGGCTCTGAACAGGGAAGATAAAGCTTCAAATGGGAATAAAACGTCTGTGACCGTGATGATCCATGCTATTCATACAAAAACTACAGATTCTGAAAGTACTTGATCGTTTCCTCTTTACAAGCCTGATGACTTGCATCATACACAAATAGGCCTTGAATAATAATTTCTGAACGCAGATATTTTTACGGAACTCTGAGGCCCAGAGGTACTCAAGTTTTTCTCCACGGAAGGGCAATCTATTTGCCTCCTCCTCTCCCCTTTGGCATTCCTTTCTCTTCCTAGCACTCAGCCTCGAGCTTGAAGGAGAAACCTGAATGCCCAAATGAGGTCTGCCTCCGTTTTCTTTGACTTAGGGCAAAATCATCTTTCAATTAATGTTCTTGATCTTTGGAAAAACACTTTCTCTGGTCGGGTATTACTGGCACTTTACAGGGGGTTAGTCTAACCGCAGGAGTTCGCTCTTTGAAAGATGCTGAGGGAGGGAATTCTGCCGCCAGCAGATGGAGAGGAGACCCAGACCAACGTGGTCCCTCCCAGCCACCCTCCCTACAGGATTAGCTGTCCCCAGCACTGCTCAGGCGTACCCAGCCCGTGCGTTCCCTGCTCGCACAGCTCCAGTTGCCTCTCTGGAGCGCAGACGCAGCTACAAGCCCGCCGCCAGCAGAGCCGCGCTGTCCGGGGCATCCGCGCGCACCGCGACCGTGGACCTGGGACCTCGAACCCGGGACGGGCGCGCGCGGCAGCCACTCGGAACGCCTGCATTCCTGTAGGTGCTTATTTCACATTCTTTATTGCTTGAGATGCCGGGTGGATACTTTCGGCCTTAGTTAAACCAAAAGGGAAACGCGGAAGAGGGGAAGCCCTGAAGAATGATTTAGTGGCAGCCTAGTCTCCTCTCCAAGGATAGGTGTTCACTGAGCGACTCTGTCCCCGACGCTGGCCCCTTTAAGAAGGCAAGTCAGTCCTGCTGCTGCTGCTGTTTGTATTGCTAATCCCCAGGAGCCCCGTTTAAAAAAAAAATAGGAAGAAAAAAAAAGGGGAGGGGGGACGGGCATCTGTCTCTTTAAATGTGATTTCCTTCTATTGTATTTGAATCGTGATCAGGAAAAAGGAAATGAAACCAGAGACAGAGGGAAGCTGAGCGAAAATAGACCTTCCCGAGAGAGGAGGAAGCCCGGGGAGAGAGGCTAGGTCCCCTCCCCGCCCCCAGGCCGCCGCCCCCTC